ATTTATTATTTCCTGTCCTGTAGCCTGCCTGAGGGATCCCCGATTCCCTGTCCCTGCTTTATGTGACATACACAGAGCCCATAAGGAGAAAATCATATGTGGGAACTTAATTAGTTGCACTCGTTTAAAATATTTGAATCTACTTCTAGAAAAAAAATGGTAACCCCAGGAGAACTTTAGTTTATGTTAAATCCTGTCTAGGGGCTTCATTTCCTAAAATGCCTTATGAAGGCATTTTTGATGTTGCATTATTGATTCACATTATTGATCAGTTCCTTTCTGCCAATAACATATTGTAACTATAACTTGAAGCTGATACTCAGCTCGTATCCATGCAGAGAAGGGCTGCCTTCTGCTTGGACTACCAAACGACACCTTTGAATTGGTGATTTCTGACTTGTTTGTGCCTTTAATTGGACACAGATTCATTCCCAAGGAATACTGCATGTTCGTTTACCTGAAATGGTTCTGGCAGCAGCAACAGACAGGGGTCACTGGAGAGAACATTAATTGTGCTGAAGCTTCCGGGCTGGGAATTAAGAGTCCCTGAAATAACCTTTAATATTTGAGCTGAGAAATCTATTGACTTGTAGAATAGGCTAATGAGGTCTCGGTGAGAAACAGGAGTGTGGTTCATTTTTCCTCTACCATTAACAGCCAAATTATCCTATACAGCATAATTACCTGAAGCTCCCTAATGTGAAGAAGATATAGCTCTTTTTCTTCCCACACCAAGCTTCTCTTAAAACTTATCATTATTCTTTTTTCCATTGCCTTTATATCCCACCTTTTTCTTCGCAGAGAACAAGGTGGCATACATGGTTGTCCCAGGGGCTTTTTTCAGCCAAAACTCACTGGAACTCAGTTCCGACACCCCTCAGGTGGGTGCCATTGCCATTATACAAAGGAGGCATTTATGGTGAGTTCTGGCACCTCTTTTTCTAGAAAAAAACCCACTGATTCTCCCCAACCTCATTCAATCCTTACAACAACCCTGTGAGGTAGGTTAGGCTCAGAGGCTGTGACTGGCCCAAGGTCAACCAGTGAGTTTCATGGCTGAGTGGGGATTAGAACCCTGGTCTCCAAGGTCCTAGTTCAACACTCTAACAACCACACCACACTACATTGTCTCTCTTCTGCACTATATGCCAGAATATGGCATATCCTATGACAATTCAACAATGATTGTCTTCTTGGTGTTACGGAGAAATTAAAAATGCCAGTACCCTATTCAATACAATACAAAGTAAAAAGGTAAAGGTACCCCTGCCCGTACGGGCCAGTCTTGCCAGACTCTAGGGTTGTGCGCTCATTTCACTCTATAGGCCGGGAGCCAGTGCTGTCCGCAGACACTTCTGGGTCACGTGGCCAGCGTGACAAGCTGCATCTGGCGAGCCAGCACAGCACACGGAATGCCGTTTACTTTCCCGCTGGTAAGCGGTCCCTATTTATCTACTTGCACCCAGGGGTGCTTTCGAACTGCTAGGTTGGCAGGCGCTGGGACTGAATGACAGGAGCGCACCCCGCCGCGGGGATTCGAACCGCCGACCATGCGATCGGCAAGTCCTAGGCGCTGAGGTTTTATCCACAGCACCACCCGCGTCCCTTACAATACAAAGTATCAAATGGTTATACCTTCTATCCAAGCCTTCCTCAACCTGGTGCCCTCCAGATTTTGTTGGACTACAGTTCCCATTATCTCTAACCATTGGACGTGATGGGTGGAGCTGTAGTTCAACAACATCTGGAGGGCACCAGTTTGGGGAAGGCTGTTCTATGCTGTAATGGATTTCATGTATAGGCAGAGCTTGGAAAGAAATTGCTTGTGTGTGGGTAGACTACAATTTTGCATTTCAAACCTGTCATTGCTTCTAGCTATGAACTCTGGATACCTTGATTCTGTAAGGGCATAACAGGCATTTAAGGAAGATGATCGGCATCCTCACAAAGCAACAATCTGCACAATTAGTTTTACAATTCTTCTGTTAAAAATTCCAGACAAATGCAATAGTAAATACATCAATGAGAACTAACTAATCAGACTCTGAACTAACACAAAAGTCCTACAAAGGTTGCTAACCAATTCTATATTTCTCACAAAAAAATGGGGGAAAGGGAATCATGTTTTTAAAACATATTTCTGCTTGCTGTCTCTTAGGCAGATATGTTTCGATTGCATTCTTATACACACTTAACCAGGGAGTAATCCCCACTGAACTCGGTGAGACTTACTTTTGAGAAGACTGCCATAGAAGTTCTTCAGCTTGGAGCATAGAGCTGGTGTGGGCAGGAGCCAAACTCAACACAATTGAAACTGCTGTTCATGGGACAAGTGAATAGCCATTTCTTTTCAGTGAGCTTCCCTGGAGAGAGGAACAACCCCTCTTCGTAAGATTTCATGCTGAAGTTTGTGGAAGAAGAGACCTCCCGGAATTATCTCAGAAGAGTATTGGGAGTTGTTAGGAAACCCCTCAAAGGACTGCATTTCCCAGCACCCTTAACTTCTTAAGTTCCCAGGATTCTTTGGGAGAAGCCGTGACTGCTAACGTGGTATAAGAGTTCTTTTAATATATGGTGTGTGTTGCAACCAAAAACTCTCTGATCATCACTTGACCCAAAAATTGTGTCTACACAATTTAATGGGGCTGTCAAACCCATTAAAGATATTTATATCTGATTATCTGCCTAGCTCTGTCCAATTATTTATCCAATGATGTATCATGTTCACATATCACAACATTGAATAAAAATGCTCTTTTGGAAGAGTCTTCAGTGGAATCGACAGTTTCTGTGAAGTATGAGGACTTTGAAAATCAAAGGCTGCAATCAAAGGAAGGGATAAGTTAATGTTTTCAGTTGATTCACTCCCTCACTCTTTTGGTTTGCAAATTTAGCTAGTGGTTACTGCAGCAAGTGAAATAATCACTGCTGTAGTCTCCCAATCAGTCTCTGAGTCCTCCTACCCAGGACCAGCTCATGACATTTTGCTGCCTGAAGCACAGGACAGTATTTATTTATTTATATATCTCACCTTCCCTGTTTTAGCTTCACAACAACCCTGCAAGGCTGGTTAGGGTAAGAGATACTGACTTGCCCAAGGTCACCCAAGTGATATTCCTGGTTAAGTGGGCACTTGAAACCTGGTTTCCCAGTTCCTAGTCCGAAACTCTCTAACCACTACACCTGGCACTTCTCCCAATCCCATGTACAACAGCTACCCAGATCACCAGGTTTTTGTGTTTTTTACTTCAAAACTAGTAACAGGAAAGCATCCTCCATTGCATCTGAGGGCAGAAGGCTAGGTTAGGGGACACAAAGCAGGCTGCATGGTACACACAGATCGGTCTGTTACCTCCTTCTGCCTAATGGTAGGGCCAGCCTTGCTTACCTAACATTGACAAAGCTGAGAGATGTGTATGCCTCTTTCACAGTGTAAGTACAAGATCATGAAGCACTCTTCCACATGCCTGGGATGTGGCTTCCACATTCCTTTATTTGTGCACTGTATTATTATTCAAGATCTCCTTAAAGCAGGTTCAGTTCCTAGGTAACTTGTTTAGAGAGTACTCAGGTTAATTGCTATGATTCACTCACAATGTAAAAATCGTGTCTCTGGGCATTAGGGATGCCCTACTGTCAAGTGCTCCACTCTTAGGGTTTGTGGGGGGGGGGGGGAGAAACCCTGAGGGAACAAGAGTGCCCACAGGTGACATGTTAGTAACCCTTGTGTCCTCTAGATGTCATTGGACTGCAACTCCCATCATTCCTGACCATTGGCCATGTAGGCTGGGGCTGATGGAAGTTGTAGTGCAACACCATGTGGCGACCATTGACTACACTAGGGTCTACCTACAGCATTTCCACCACCCAGGAAGACCAGGGATAGTCACGGAACATGCAAACATATACTGTGGGTAAAGAGAAGTACAGGAGACCTACGCTTATCTCCTGAACGTGGGTTTGTCTTGGCTGTAGCTTTAATATCCACCTCCCTTGCAGACCATACCGGAGAGATATCTAAGGACCATGCATCTTCACGGGGGATAGATTTCTGTGTATTGCCGGAGAGCTTAAAATATCTTCTTTGTTTCCCTCCCTCTTTACCCATAGATCACCCACATGCTGCGACATGTGAATATTGTGTCTCTGTTCTGCAAGCCCCGCCTCCTTCTCCACAATGACTACAAGGGAGGGGGAGAGAGAACACATCTTATCCCCACAAGCCAGGCAAAGTAATATAAGTCACCATCTGCTGGGAACAGATATGGGGAATTGCAGAACTGATCTCTATCTCAACCCAGCTGCAATGATTTACAAGTGAATTGGTGCCCTCTCTGATGTCTGTCCATAAAACACAATGGCTTGGTAAGCTTTCACCCTTTAGCAATTGCAGCTGAATACTGTACCTAGAGCCTTGTTAAATGAACTGGGAGGAACATTTTACTCAAGGGGAAAGCTGTTTCCTTTTGCTTTGTGGTGGTAGTGGGGAGGGATTGATCTTTTGGTTCGGCAGTGACTGGTGTCAAAGCTAACCTTCTGCTGTCCCTTTGCAGTGCAAACCATGGGTTAAGCTGGTGAGTGGAGACATGTGGTGACCCTTATGATCACAATGGATTGTAGGAGATGTGCCCTTATGCTGGTTCATATTTGGAAGGAAGTCTCTACCTTGTCCACACTCCCAACACTTCTTCTGAGATGCTCAGATTCAGCGGAGTATGGGGATGCTGACCCACTCAGGGGCATGAATGGAAAGCAGTGCTTGAACAGAGACTCATGGACTTGTAAGGGCACTTCATCTCATACAACTGCCTGCTCGGTGCAGAATCTAAAACATACATCTGAAAGCCTATCATTTTTGTTATTATTGCTGTGATTTGTGTTTAATGCATTAATATGGCAAATTTTAATATACATATACACATTACTCAGGGGCCAGGACAATGATATGTTGTTGTTGTTGTTGATTCATATTTTCTCAGTTTCATCCTCACACTGGAATAATGGAGCTCACAACAACCAGCGAAGATTTCTTTCATGCTTCCAACAAGACTTTCAACGCCTCTTCTCATGGGACAGACGACAGCTTTGGTGGCCTGACAGTGACACAGCTGAGATACATATTTGCTTCTTTCTGTGGCCTCATCTTGTTGGTTGGCTTTGCTGGCAACCTCTTCATGCTGCTGGTCCTGATTGAGGGCTTCAGGAGCAGCAGGAGCACCAACTCCATCTCTGCCATGACCAACACTCTCATGGTCAACATCACCATCTCCGACCTGATCTTCCTCCTCTACAATGTCACCGTGCTGCTGCTCACATTTGTCTATGAGGACTGGGAGATGGGCTTGGCTGTGTGTGTCAGCAGCCAGAGCTTTTCCATGTGGACCATGTTCTGCAGCTTCTATAGCATGGTGGTCACCTCCATCCTGAGATACCTGGCAGTTGTTCATCCCACCTGCTCCTTCCCAGCAAATTGGCTCCAGAGGTTTCTTCTCTGCATGGTCATGTGGCTCATGGGCTTCACTGTGTCTGTCCCCAACTGGATACACCAAGGAGTCGTCGTGCTTGAAGATGCTCGATACTGTACGCTTTTGATGACGCCGAGGCAAACATACCTGTATTTTGTTCTCTTTGGTGGGGTTGCCTTCTTCCCCTTTGTGCTTCTCTTGGTCCTGTGCTATTCCAGAATCGTCCATTCCCTCTGGTTCAGGAAGATGGTGGTGGTCCACTCATCCTCAAGCATTCGGCTCAACAGGAAAGCAACTGTCATGATCCTGACCGTATTGGCGGTTTTCATCCTGATGTGGATACCATGCTCAGTGGTGATATACCTCTCGGCCACCCACAGCCTCCCACAAACTCCTGCAGGATTTGTAGCCTCCGGCTTATCTAGCATTCTGGCTTATTCGAACTGCTCCGTAAGCCCCCTCATTTGCTTTTCCCTTTCAGATCAGTTTCAGGCTAGCCTGAAAAAGTTGCTTTGCCGACGAGGTCCCAGGTAACCCCAGGACCACGGGCAGAGTTGATTGGACCCAAATAACTACGTCAACAGCCTCTAAGAGGGAGCTAGAGGCAAACTTAGGCTACTCAATCAGACCAAGCACTTTGTCATTTCAAAACAAAACAAAACACCAATGTGGACTCACTGTGCTTTGAAGAACAGCACTGATGACATGCATTATATGCTACTCTGTAGAACAAGTATAAGAATCCTAATTGCAAATCATAGAATTGCAGAGTTGGAAGGGACCCAATGGCTTATCTAGCGCAACCCCTTGCAATACAGGAATCACAGCTCCAGAATCCATGACAGATGGCCATCCAACCTCTGCTTAAAAACCTCCAAGGAAGAAGAGGTGGTCTTTTCCACTGCTGAACAGCTCTTGCCATCAGAAAGTGCTTCCTAATGTTTAGTCAGAATCTCCTGTGTAATCTTGCTTAGCTTTATCATCCATTATAATAGATCTGTAAAAACAACCAATAATAAACAAATAGCATAACATTTTATTATTACGGGACAGCCATACCGTTTGGTCCCTTAATAGGAATCAGCAGCAATCCACTGAGTCACCTGTTCGTGAGTCTCTACTGAAAGACCCACAGGGCTTTTGCGTGCTATCAGGGGTTCTCCCTGGGGCTGAAAAACATGGTGCTGAGTCAGTCTCTGTCCCGTAGATGTCGCTGTTGCATTTTTAAAATTCCTTCGCGAGCTCATTGCTGTAAATGGAAAACAGTTATGGAAATACAGAGGAAGTCCAAGCACAAAGCAGCACTTTCACTGTAGATTTATTTTATTTTATCGCCTCTTTCCTCTTTCCAGTAGCTTTTCATCTTTTCCTGCTTTTAAATAGGCACAGGGCTGCTAGCATTTAAATATATAAATCCCCAGCCATGTTTTCCTTCCTTTCCGAAGCAGTGCTTTTTGCAACCTGCCCCAGGGGCTGCCTCAATATTCCTAATCACCAAGAGAATCTAATAATGAAGCAATAACTACAAAGCAATTTCTCCAGCAAGTTGAATTGTTCTGATCCAATCCCCATTGTTCGGCATAAATAATAAATCAGAACGCCACAAAGCAGAGCAGCAGAGGGGCCATTTTTAAGAAACGCTGCAGGAATCTGCTTGACGTAAGCAAGCGGCACGCCAACATGATTTTGATTGACTTTTCATCATTTCCCATCTCACTTCGGAAGGAAAGGAAAGGAAAGGCACATTTGCGCATTCAGTGATGCTTCTTGCACCACTCAGAACATAAGAGCCAAAGAGCTGTGACAATACTCTGCTGATATCATTTACTACCAGATTTAGCAAGATCAGAGTGGGTGGTGGCAGTGGTTGGATTGCTGTACCTCCAACACTTCTCAGATGAAAATAAGGATGTTTCTCACACCTTGCGACTGACCCTCCTCAACCCCCAATTTTTGGTCCTCCCCTCCTGCAGAAGGGCAAGTGCCACCACCAATGGGTCGCAGCACACATGCCCTCCACTGTCCTGAGAAAACCCCTTAATCCTTATTTGATTTTATTCTTTGGCAGATTTATAAAAAGAAAAGCACACATCAGTATTTTTTAAATATATATAGAAAGGGTCAAGATTAGATGCGGATGCACAAACCATAAAAAAAAGGACTGGGTGAAAAGCCATTGGAACCTGCATTCTGGAAGTGGGTGTGGCCAGTCTCAAAAATAAGCATATTGGTGAGGGAGGAGGTGTGGCCTAGCTTGGCATCTGCTTCCACTGTCAGACTGCCAAGACTGCTGCCTGTTCTTCAGATGTGTCTTGGGCAGCCTGCATGTTCCCCTCTTCAGCTGGCAGACGGAGGCTGAGGTCAGAAAAATGTGACCCATCCTAGCATGTCCAGAGATTTAATCTCTTTACATTAGATTTCTATGAAATAAGGACCCACCTTGTTCTGGGATTGTAAATACTGTTTTTTTAGCATTGTTTATAATGGTTGGGACCTCAGGATGAAGGGATGCTGACCCACTGTTGCGTCTTCTATGCTCAGGGAAGAGATATCTGTTTCCTGGGACTTGGAGGACATCCAGCTGAAGAGAAGAGTTTCTCCAAGCTACAATTCCTAATCAGCTCTCTTGGTTGTGGGCTCCTCTGTTAAGGACCACCATGTAGGTCGACTTTTAAAAAATCATCATCATTACTATCATATTAATCTTTACGCCTTTGAAAGCTGAGGATGGAACCAGCTTTATATAATCACAGTTGGTGAGATTAAGGCTGCAAACCTACACGCACTTTACTTGGGAGCCTGCCTCGCTGAAGTCAGTGGGGTTTGCTTTCAGCCGCACATCCACTTCACCTTGATTTTAAATGTTTCTGTTTATAGTGAAAGGCTTCAGCTCTGCCAGCCTTCTGTTGACCTACAATTTCAATGGGAACCAAACCTGGAAGAAGATGCCTGCAACATGTTGCTTAAGGCAAGGAAATCCTCGTTCTGTGAATCCACTCTAATTGGTCCTTCATTACTAAGGGACAACTATTTTCCTGGCACTTGGTTAAAGGCTGGGCTCTACTGAACTCTCTGATTTAGTTTTCTTCTGCAAGAGCTACTTACACAGCACTCCCTGAATTTTGGAGAAGTGGACTGCTTTTCTGGTGACGCACAGATGCACTAAGCTCCCCATGGAACCCCGTGGATTGGGACCAATTAAAGGGTCATGATGTTTCCAGCAGATCATACTTGATCTGGCACATAATGACATTATGCTGTGGTTGGAAGCAATCCTTGATCTTTCTGAATGCTCATTAAATAAATCATGCAAGACCTGAAATATTAAGCCCCTATTAGTATGTGTTTAGGAATCCCCAGCTCTCTACTGGGAGAAGAACAGTGGATGGTATTTTGAATGCCAAGAAAAGGACTTTGCTTCAGATATTAGCTGACAATGATTGCCCTTATCGATTGTTTCCTATCCTTTCCATGCTCCCATGGGCTGCAGGAGCTCAGCATCTTCCCTCCCAGTGCTATAATGGGGTGTACACTTCTTTTGGCATGAATTAGCATTCTGCAAAGACAGAACAGAGAGAAAAATAGATGACTTTTTATGCACGACAAGGAACAGTATTTGGAACACAACACTTTGCCAGCAGCCACAGGCCTTTTGAATGTTAATTACACATTTGCCTGTGTGAATTCAATATAGTGTCAGTTGTCTTAGGCATGCCACACTAATCACAAAAACCACCGATGGCTTTCAATTTCATAGTGAAAGACCCCAAAGCATTTAAATGCTTAGCTATAGTGTACAAACAAATTTGGTGCATCGATTTTTAAAGCAGTATGGTTCCACCATGTTAACTTTGCTTGGGGGTGGATGCCCAAAGCATTTCTATCGCCTCACCCTTTTCAGTTTATGAACCACTCTAAGTATCCATACTAGGATGAAGGGCAGGATTCCTCTCCACATATTTGCAGGTTATATTCCCACTTTTTGTCTGCATATGAAAAAGAATTCACCTATTGGTCAATTTTTGAAAATCAGTATGCTTATCACGAATAAGCATATATGAGCTGGAACAACTGACTAGCCTCACAACAGACATTTGGATTGTCTTCTGATGAATGAAGGAATCAAGTTTTAAAATTATTTTGAGCGCTTATGTTGCAACTTCTGTTTTCAGTTTGATAATTAGTGCACTAAGGAGCTGTGGTATTGTTGCATGACATCCATGGGCATAGCCAGGATTTTTGTTGGGGGTTGGGCAGAACCTCAGTTTGCTATGTATTTTTAGTGATTTTTATTGATTGGGGGGGTAGCTGCCCCTTCCTGCCCCCCCCTTGGCTACACCCATGACGCCACCTCAGTCTCTGATCTGTTCGAGTTTCCAAGGGCCCTAGGCACTTACCCAGAGTTCAGGTTTCCTCTGGAATAAGGGAGCGGTGATATCTTTATGATACATGATTTATTTGCACATACAACCTGAGCCTATGATGGAGCATGAAGGTCTTGCTTCCCCCATAGCCACAGCTTTGGATTCCAGCAGAAATCAGGCATGGCTGTCTCCCTCTGCTTTCCCAGCTTCCTGATTCTAGCTTCTAGCTTCCAGCTCAATTCTCCCCTCTCAACTCTGGCTTTTTTTTCTTTTTAAACTAACTACCAGTGAGTCAAGAGAGGGGACCCCATCCATTTGGTATCTGGCACAGAGCCACCTCCTTTGTTCCCTCAATGGTCTAGGCTATCGCCTTACTAGGAAGCAAGCCTAGCTATTCCAGGAATTTGAATCCTTGTTTAAAATTTGGCACTTTCCGGATCCAGAACGTAGAAGGGTCTCAGCATACAACCTACTTCCCTCCCCAAACTCATAACAGTATTGTGCAATTAAAAGGAGATGAGGACTTGAAAGGGTTTTTATTGTACTTTGCACACTTGGACTGACATGTACAATTTCACAGGCTGTTTCTGTAGTGAATGATAATAGAATCTGAAGTTTTTGTGATGATCAGATTTTTATAGCAAAGCTTCTCCCCCTTTTTTGTGTCTTCTATCTTCTCCACATTTTCTTTAGTCTTGAGAACTCTGCCAAAAGCAAGTTCTTGTAGGAAATTATTCTGGAATGCAATGAATTTGAAATTTAGATACCAAGGCTGCAATCCTAAGCACACAATCCTAAGTCCCAGTAGGATCTATTTCTGAGTAGACCTTCATAGGATGTTCATACTCAATGAAATCTGAGTAGGAAGGAGCTGGGACTGCTACATCTGTCTAAATCACGCCAGTAGTCCCTACCCCTTCTTGTGGTTCTTGTAAAAATGCTGCTAAGGGTTTTTTGATTTTAGGATTTTGATTCAAGATCTGCTTGAATGCACTTCTGTAATGATGTAGCCTGTACTAGCTTTTTGTAACCTTTATGTAGCTTAGTGCGTTTAATGAGTGCATGTATTTTGTAGCAATTACTGCTAAGTTACAAGTTGTGTGGGTATATATATATAAATTATACAACCCAGTCACTCACATAGGGAAAGAGAATACAATGTTTCATCGG